CTCAATGTTATATAGCAGATTTATTAAGTATATATTAATGAATATGCATAATATCCCTCATCGATAACATAACTTGGAGTTTCATGTGGATCTGTATGAAACTCCAACTCATGCTATTGGTGGGGAATATTATGTATATTCATTTATATATATATATATATATATATATATATATAATAATTTATTCAAAATTATAACATAAATATGTTAAAAATCACTACAAAAATAGCCATTTTGCTTCAACACTTCTTGTGTCTTGTCAAGTGATGGAGTTGAATGTAGAATGAAGGGTTTTAAAAGGTTCAAATGGACCAAACGTCCCTTGATAGGAGAGACTCTGTTACATAAGCTGCAATGACCAATCAAAATACAAGTATATGAAAATTCAAAGAACTTGACAACAAACTAAGATTATAATAATTAATGCCTTAATGTTAGGGTTAGACTAAAATAGAAAATCATTCTAAATAATTAATATTAAATTTTACTATAGAATTGAAAATTAAAAGTTACCAATTTTAAATTTAATTTATTAATCACTGTTAACTGTAAACATAGCTCAAAATTTAACTTATTATAGGGATAGTAATATTTTTGACGGTAATACAATGTTACTCTAAGTTTAGTATGTTATTACTTATATTACCTGCTAATCCTCCAATCTCTTTACATATATGTAGGTATATGTTTATAATGTTGTTTGTTTGCGCATCCACATGTGTGTGTATTTTTATAGATGTATATATGTGTATGTGAATTTTTTATAAGTATATATATATATATATTGATTTTCTAAGTGAGGTTTAGATGTGGCACATGACCGAAAGTATGGGACACCTAGTGAGGAATAAACTCACTATTCAGTTGTAATAGTTTTAGCAAGACCAGCTTGTTAACCATTACACCATGCCGAGGCACCCAACAGTTAACAGTGAGTTCATTCCTTTGATTTAAGAGATGGGTCTTGCCTTTAAATCTGATAATTTCAAATTTTTCATTAAGGCATAAATAACAAGGGGCATATAGAGAGTTCCATGTTTGAGTTCTTGTAATTAATTTATATATATATATATATATATATATATATATATATAAAAAATATATTTTTAAGGTCTGATGGGATAAAGTGCTCAATTTCAGAGATAGTGTATGTAAAAATAAAATTGAAGTCAACACTCAGAGGTGACAGACTGTTTCATGCTAAACGCATGGCCTGATGATTGCGTTTAGCATGAAACAGTCTGCTGCCTCTGAGTGTTGACTTCAATGTTCACTTTTATTATTATTATATATATATATATATATATATATATATATATATATATATATATATATATATATATATATTATTTTTTTACTTTTAAACATAGATGGTACAATTATAGGTCATCATTTAAGTTAGCAAATCTTACGTACTCTACCAAACTAGCTAACCATGTGTGGAATTTAAAAGAAAAAACAATAGTTATCTGTTGGTAAGGTGGAAAATTTTAAATAAAGCAAAACTGTACAACAATCACAACCATATTTGCAACCTCTGCCAACAGGAAAAATTAGCGATTATGACATTTCTGGATCCTAAAAACCTTTTAAACCAGAAATCTGAAGTCTTAAGTCCTTGCTTACATATCAGAAAATTTTTCTTAAGTGAGTACAAACCTGGGTAAAAAAAAATGTAATTTACCCATACCGATGCATTTACAATACACTTGCTTTTCTTCCCTTCCCCCTTCTTCACATCCTCCTCCTCCTCCCTTTCTATTACACTGAGTGTTGTACATTTGTTTATTTATTTTTGAAAATAATAATGTAGCATTCTTTAGTTATTTAAAAAAAAATAAAAAAGCATTAGGTGGTCATTTGATAAAAATCACCTGAGGATACCATAAGGTTGAAACCAAGGCAGTGGATTCAACTGACCTCCTGATTTTTAAACTTACATACATACATACAGTGGCCTGACGATTGCGTCTAGCATGAAACAGCCTGTCGCCTCTGTGTTGACTTCAATGTTCACACACACACACACATATATATATATATATATATATATATATATATATAGGTGTAGTCGAGTCATTTCTGACTTTGTTATAACATAGTTTTTGTGGAGTTGCATTCTAACGGTTCTGGCTTTGTTAGTGATTAGTTTTTCCAATACTTCTAGTTCTTCAACAGATGTTTTTAGGAAATTGCATGCAAATGTTAGAAAAAATGTGATGTGGTATTCTAAGTATTTTATGTGTGCATTGTGGGATCACTTTTTCATCAATGCATTTCAGCAAGAAACCTTTTTAAAATTGGCCAACTCAGAAAAGTTAGCAATAATGACATTTTCCAGATCCATAACGCTAATAGTTGCTGGTTAGTAAGACTATAAGGAAAACACTGGAAACAAAAGGTTGAATGAAGAACAGTTTAATCACATGAGAACATGGGCCTTGTATTGAGTGAACAGTAGTATAAAAAAAAATTCTATAAAACCCGATATGACTATATTATCCACACAGCATGATCTTGTCCTGCTCTTAGTGTGGATGGTGTAACAGATAGCAACTTGAAATGAGAAGTCAATGAACTGAGTTCAAATTCAGGTTTCGTTACATTCATTTATGTGCAAATACCCTTGAGAAAGGTATGAATCCATCTACACCAATTGGCTATGGATTAAACTTGTATCTGAAAAATCCTTGTTATTCTCTAAAAAAATTGTTAGTGCTATTTTTATTTCCAAAAGAAGAATTTTTTTTACAATCCAAAATTATGTCTTGACTTTAAGTAACACACAAAGGGTTGATAACCCGTAAAAAAACCACAAATCCTTCAATTCTAGTAATAAGATATCTCATCTTCATAGTAAAAGAAATCATTACTTGATAGCAATAAGTGAGCACACGTTGTGTTACTATAACATCGGAATATCTCATTAGTAATTAGGGGAGATTTATTTTTTTTGTTCTAAGTTAGCTTTCTTTAGATATTTTTTGTTGTATAAGAGTAAGTGTTGTTGCTGACACTGTGGTTTGAAACTAGATCATCAGTGAGTAACACGGGTGATCCCATTATTAAGTAGATCATAAAGGAAGTGAGTAAATACGAAGTAGCGTAATGATCACTGTTCACAATTCTTGTCTATCCACTATTGCTATACATTCACTCTCACTACTCTACTATTATATGGAATACGATTCACTTTTGATCATTATGCTATTTGGAGATTACTACTTGAACAAGTATTACTAGTGCAGATATTATTGGAAGTCGTTACTACTAGTACCAGTGTCTATAAATTTCAGATTTAATGGGCATTTTTGGAAGTGATAACAGGCTTTTGCTTGACATAGCAAAAGTGACAAGCAAAGCTGACCAACATCACAAAATTTTTTAATTTCAGTGATTTAAAAACCTTAATTATCTTTTGTGATAAAGTTAATTGTATTAATAAAAATCTTAGGTTAAATATAATGAATGCAATTGTAAAAATACTTAGATATTGCCATTATTATTTGACCAATTAAAGTAAACCAGTTTTGAATTAAGATAAAAAGAAGATAAATTTACTGTGGGTAAAACATTCAAGTCTCAATAAAAAGTAGTTCTTAATTCTTACATTGTATAAGTCAGAGGTTATTCAACATAATCCAAGTCTCAATAAAAAGTACTTTTTTATTCTTACATTGTATAAGTCAGTGTATTCAACTTTGAGAAGTGTTTGGAGATTTTACAACATGTCAGCATATATTATTTAATTGAATGGCACATTTTGTATGTGGAATCCAGTGAGGATTGAACTCTCTTCTCCACAGTAATTGTCAACTTGATGCTTCATTAGCCATTACCCCACACCAAGTTGCTTGCTAGAAAGTTGTGTTAAAAATATGTAATAAGATCATGAAAAGACTAACAAAAATTTAATGATACTCACAACCTGTTGTTAGTGAACCAATTCCTCTCAAAGAACTACATGTGTGAGCTCTTAAAAATGTAGTCTATAAAAGATGCTTGAATTTTCAAGAGAAAATATTTTCAGAATTCCATGACTTATTTAGATTGATATCTATCAGTAAAGATAAAAATATAGTTTACCCAAGTATAAAGCTGACCAACGTTTGCCTATAGACCCAACTGTAAAGCCAACTAGCATTTGGCTATATATCCAAGTATAAAACCGAAAATCAACCTGATTTACAAGTATAAAGCCAAACTATATTATATATAACAATATTTCACAAATTCTTTTTTCAATTAGCCTATTTCCTGAAATACTGTTATCCCAAAACTTTACATCATCATGAAACAATAGCCAAAATAAATTGAAATTGCTTTGAAAATAGGAGTAGAACTTAGAGATCTATTGAGTCTTGTATAAACCCAACCAATGTTCACCTATGGAATCAAATTTAAACCTGACCAATCTTATAGACACGAGTATAATAAAAATTAGAAAGAGTTGCACACTTTAGATTCAGTTTGTTCAGGCTAAATCCAGTTACTCCTTTATTTTTCTTTGAAATTTTAATTTTATTCCATCCTGGGTAATTTACCCCTATTTTCTAACCATTGACCTATTGAAGCTAGTATAAACCTAACCAAATTTTGCTGACTGTTGCTATAGAGTAAGATTTTCCTATTACAAACAATGAATAGTCTTCAGATGTTTTGTATTCTGAGAATTTCATCACAAATTCTTTCTCTTTCCTTCATTAAATTGTTCTTTCTCCCCACATCCCCAACATTCTAGACTGAATATTTACCGACCACTTAAGTTGTACAAATTAACAATATATGTAACTTTCAACAAGATTTTATGTTATTGAAATTCTTGGCAAATATAAAAAGAAATTAAATAAATGTAGCAGCATTACATGAGTAAAATTGCTTTTTGTTTATTTTTTTTAATTATTATTTCAGATTTTGGAAGATGGTGGAGAAAATTATTTTTCTTTTATTTAATGATGAGGAACATAATAAGAAAATAATATTTTTGTTTATTCAACCAGATATCTCAGTTGATGAGTTGGCCATCTATGAAACATTGCCAAATCCAGAATTACAGATGGACATTGATGGCATCCTTCGGGATAAGGTGAATATTTCACTTGGTTTTTATATTTTGGTGATGTTTCCATAATTTGGATTTTATCCAAATTAATATCAAATCTTTTTGTTTATTATAAACCTTATTCTATCAGTAATGCTTACATTCATTCCTGACCACTGATAATACCTTTTTTCATGATTTTCAATACTTTCCAATAATAAAGTCATTAGCAATGCAGTTACATTTTATATCTAATATCCCTATTTATTCCCAAAATATAGACTTGCATTGAAAATAAAAAAATATCAACAAGAAATGAATTCTCTGCGGTCAAGAATGTCCTTGGTATGACGATAAACTACATCCACGTCCTGGGTAAGATGATAAACAACATCCGACAGCAAGGCCTCTGATCAGGAGGTTTTGAGGAGCATGGAACCACCTCTTAATTGCTGGTGTTCCCAGGTCCACCCTGACCAGGGTTGGTAGCACTTGTTAGGATCCCAGCTATGGGCAAATAGTTAACACCCAAACTTGTGTAAAAATAGGTTTTAATACCAGAAATACTTTGTAATAAAAAAAATTATTACCAGCAATAATTTTCAAAGGAAAAATTATTATCAGCAATACTTTAAAAAAAAAAAATACCAGCAATACAAACAGTTATATATTCTTTGAAAAAAAAAATATGGCCATTTATAGATTTCTTCAAGGAAAAATATTCCCAGAAATAGATTTTTGAAGAAAAACATATTACCAGCAATAAAAAATTTTGTCGGCATTAAATAACCCATTGAGGTTGATATGCCGTAAAACAAAATAAACCAAATCAAACCTATATAGTCAAGAACAAATACTGATAGAAGCGGGATACTATAGAACAGAGAAAATAATTATTCATAAAGAACAGTTTATTTGACTATTTTTAAAGACTTGATTGATGTAGAGTTCTTGGAGAATAGTGTCATGCTTCCTTTGCCATTTCACTTCACTTGGACAGTGTTACTTCTCTTGAATTCTTTCTTTTCTTTTCTCTAAAACTCAATGTTATTTGAAGCCAAACTTTATTGTGGTTTCATTAGGCCAAAGAATATTGTTCCAATTGGATATCTGGCTATTTAGAAAGAATCAGACATGCCTCCAGATGTGAATTAAGTTCACATACAGCCTTGATTTCATTAGTCTAAATAATATTATTCCAGTATACATTTGGCTTCATAGCAAAACTCCAATATGTCTCTGCATGTAAATTAATGCCACACACTGTTTTGGTCTCGTTAATTGAAAGAATGTTATTCTAGACTTTTATTCTGGTAGGGATCAGGCTAGTTAGCAAACCTTAAATTTACCTGCTGATGTGAATTAATGCCACATCCGCCTTCTCAAAGATGAAAAAAAAGACTTGTAGCAACAGAAATGTTGTTCTTCAGGAGGATGTTGAGGATACCATGTGTACTAAAGAGAAGTTTCTATGGAAGAAAGTAAGAAAAACGTCCTACAGAAGGTAGCGAAGGAAAGCGAAAAGAAAGGGGGGGGGATTAAAACATCAATTGTAAGAAGGCAGAATGCAGGGTTGTTTAAGTGAAGGATGAGCCCAAGATGCAAATTGCAAATAAGAGAGAGACCAAAATCAAACAAGTGTGGAAATTTAAATATCTTGGAAAGTGTTTTAACAGAGGATGGAAAGTGTGACAATGAAATTTGAAGGTGTCTAGGGATAGACAAGGAAGCATTCTAAAAGCTTAACAGGCTACTAAAAATAGGAAAACTATACTAGAATACTACATGATATCTGTCCTCCTGTATGGCAGTGAGTACTGGACAATCTTGCAGCAACAGAAATGTGGTTCTACAGAGGGATACTGAGGATAAGATAGAACATGTTAGTGACAACAAAGTTTTGAAGAAAATGGAAATAAAAAGGATACTTAACATCAGGAAGAAACAGATGAGGTTTCTGGGGCACATAATGAGGAAGGAAGGCTTGGAAAATATGATACTCTCAGGACAGATAGAGGGACAGAGGAAAACAGCACATAACATATTTAGTGAGCTTGAGATAATGAATGGCAGAACAGGGCTTAGGATAAATTAAATAACAAAAAAAAACAAAGATTATTAAGATTTATGAGGAACAGGAAAATTGTGTAAATCTATGATCACATATGTCCAGTGGGGGCATGGCACAGAAAGGAGAAAAAGAAGTCCAAATAATATTAATCTGGTATGGATCTGGCTACAAACCTAAAATATGCCTCCAGACATGACTGAAGGCTGCATCTCTTTTTATCTCATTAAGAATATTTTTATTTGGGGATCTGATACCTTATCAACATAATATGTCCAGATGTTAATTAAAGCCACATCTGTCTTTGTCTCATTAGTCTAAAGAATATCATTCTGCTAGGAAACTCACTTCATGCAAAGCTAAAATATTTCACCAGATGTCAATTAAGGCCATAACTGTCCTGGTCTTCTTAGTACAAGGTATATTATTGTGGTAGGAATCTGGCTCCATGCAAACCTAAAACATTCTTTCAGATGTTAATTAAAACCACATAAGTCTTTGTCATATTAGTCCAAAGAATATTATTCTGTTAGGGATCTGGCTTCTTAGCAAACCACAAATATTCCTCCAGATGTTAATTAAGGTCACGTGTGTCTTGGTCTCATTAGTTCAAAGAATATTATTCCTGTAGAGATCTGGCTGCGTAGCAAGCCTAAAACATTTGTCCAGATGTTAACTTAGGCCACATCTGTCTTGATCACATTAGTCAAAAGAATATTATTCTCTTAGGGATCTGGCTTATTAGCAAACCTAAAATATACCTCCAGATGTGAATTAAGGTGACATCTGTCTTGGTCTTATTAGTCCAAAGAACATTATTCTGGTTTTAATCTGCCTCCTTAACAGATCTAAAATATTCCTCCAGATGTTAAATGGGCCACATGTGTCATGGTTTTATTAGTCCAAAGAGTATTATTCTGATAGGGATCTGGCTCCTTAGCAGACCTAAAACATTCTTCTAAATGTTAATTAATGCCACATGTGTCTTTGTCTCTTTAGCCCCCAAAATAATATTTTGGTAGAGATCTGGCTCCTTAGGAGCTGTAAAATATTCTTCCAGTTTTTAATTAATGCCACATCTGTCTTGGTTTGATGAGTTCAAAGAATATTATTTTGTAGCCATCTTGATCTGTAGCCAACCTAAATTATTCTTCCAGATGCTAATTATGGCCATATATGTCTCAGTTTCACTTTGTCCAGATGTGAATTAATGTCACATATGTCTTGATCTCATGTACCTCCATAGATTTGTGAGACAGATTTTCAAGAAAATGAACATTTAAAAATGAAAAATCTTTGTTGAAGCTTTTATTTTAGTTTTAATTTGAAGCTAATAGACTACATTTAATATCTCCAATAAGCAAAATTCTTTGCTGTATTTCAAAACTAATTTAAATTGGTTGGAAAGAGTTTTTGGTTTTAAATTTCTAAAACTTTTTGAATCTTGTGCCATTTTTAGTAATCTGTTATAAAAATGTAAATCTCTTTATTAAAAAGTCTTCCAAAAATAAAATATATTTTTTTATAACTTTATTTCAGTAATATTAGCTAATTTAACATATAATTAATTTGATTTGAAACAAATATTATTTACTTATGTTTAAAATATTTCAGAAATATTTTTTTAACATGGCAGGAGCTGTTTATTTAATGTTGACAACTTTTTATAACTCCATGACAGCTCAATGACAGATTTTTGTTATGATTTTAATGTTCTATGGCAGTCTTATCCATAAATGAATAATTGAAGACTATAACATGAGCACCATGCCTTTCAAATACAATCTATTGTTTTATTGAATTTTAGAGAATTTGGGCTTTAAAATTACTATAGTTATGGTTCTTATTTTCTGAGAATATCATATATAGCCGTCTGTAAACAAAAAGGTTTACTCACAAACAGAATAAATTCAAAGGTTTTTTTTTTAAATACTTGGGGTTGTCAAATTGTAATAAGCTTTATGATATATGAGTAGTAAATATAATTTTACTTAATAACAATATTCCCTAACAGTTACACTGTTGCAACATTATTTTAAAAGATTTAAAATCTTTATAAATTATTCTTATTAAAATTGTAAAAAAAAAATGAAAACAAATCACTAAAAATTATCTTGATGAATTTCTTGAGTTTTCATAAAATTAAGTGGAGATGTAACATATGAAAAAAAATGACTTTAACTATGATTTTCTGAAAAAAAGATTTCTGAAATAATTTAATTCATTTGTGAATAAGTTCTGAATGTTTCATTAAAATCTGATAATTATTTGATTTTTGCAAGAATTTTGAAATTAATGTGTGTTTCACTGCAAAAAAGACACTAACATTTGCTATGCTAATTTATAGTACATCAGCTGATACAAGAAAAACAAGATTTTTAATCAAAATTTCGAATGTTTTTTAGAACAAAGGATTAAAAAATTAAATTGAATATTTAAAAAATTTAATTGAATATTTGAAAAATAGATTGATCGTTCCTCTTAATAATAAGAAATATTTTGACGATAAAACTTTTTCTTAAAAATCTACTCCTTAGAATATTCAAGAATAACATGCAGTTATTTAGAACCCACCATCTACAAAATTTACATTCTTCAACCTTATTATTATTAGTTTTCCCATTTCATACTTTTCTGCTTCATCTTTTGAAAATATATCTTTGTTAATTTTCTATAAATAGATTTCTATCTGAGTTTCTAGTATCAGAAGTTATCATTATTTATACTATTTACATGTGGACTATTGTCCTCATCTTTGTTGTTGTTATTGCAATTCTTTGGCTGTTGTCCCCTCCAGCCTTTATCAGGTGTCTTAGATTACCCAGATTGACATAGATCTGATGAAGGTCAGAGAGCATAACAGTTGAAACGTTGTGATATCAACAACAAAGATAAGGACAATAGTTTGTGGGGAAATAGAGGAAATATTAAGTGGATTTGTTGGAAATTTTTGTTCATGTTTACTTTTGCAAAGATGAAGCCTGTATGTGGAAATTGTGGGGGGGGGATAATAGCTGGCTAACATCATTCAATACATTCAAAATTATTCATCACCGAGCAGACCCTAAACCTGCACCCATCCTGATTAGTGGTCAGATGTTTAAAGAGGCTCAAATAGAATATGTATATACCTGCCATTGCAAAAGATGCTGGAAGAAATATCTGTTCCAGAAAATACCATAATTCTTGATGCTGTGTGCTCTGTCTTTGTAAAAGTCAAATCAGACCAAGAATAGAGTATTGCTGCCATATCTGGGCTGGGACTGCCTAATCTTCATTGCCCAGTGTCAAAAGAGTTCATAGGGCCTTGTGGGTGATAAATTATTCTCCACCTTTTGATCCTTACCCCCACTTTGCTAAATTCTTGATCTCACTATCAGACATTCAGACGAGTTACATTCCTTCACAGCTGAGGACCTGCTAATGTCATGCTCATGGTGACAAGCCATCCATTATTCCCCCACAGGTTCCTTTGAACTTCCTAAGAATTGTTACTTTGTGGAACAAACACCTGAGAGAACGTTTACCTCATAATTATACTCCTGGGTCTGATGACAAACTACATCCAGCCGCAAGGCCTTTCATCAGGAGATTGGAGTTTTTGGGGAGTGGGGAACCACATCTTAATTGCTGTTGTTCCCATGTCCGCCCTGATCCTGGGTAGTAGCATCTGTTAAGGTCCCAGCTAGGGGCAAATAGTGAACCTCCAAATAAAAATAAAAACCCATGAAAGTATAAAATACATTTTTATAGTGGAATTACCAACAATAGATTTTATCTGTACTTGAAGGCATACCATTGTCTTCAAAATATTTAGATTTTGGTATTAAATAAACCATAGATGGTGCTAGACAAAATCAACCAACATGACAACTAAAATCTTGGTTTCTTTAAGTACAAGGTCAACCGATGTCTATCTTATAATTCTTTTTTACTTCCCACTCCCTAGCAATGTTATTCAGTAGTCCCCCCACCCTCAACCTTGAGTGATACTTGGGCCCTGCATTGTCTGCATTATCAGTTAAAAAGAGAAAATATATGCGTAGGTAAATAATGCAATAAATTGTTCTTTATGGCATCTTTCAAATTACTTTCCTTACTGTATACCTGATATAAATTAAATACATTCAAACTTTCTGGTTTGTATATAAGTAAATTCGATTGAAAAATGGGATTTAGATAAATACTTATATTTTTGTGTTCAGTCGTTCAAATGAATGTAAGATACATAAAAATTCTTTGCAATTTTCACCTGCTGAGAATAATTTTGATTTTATTTTCTATTACAGAAAGGTCAATCAGAATACTTGGTCTTTTTCAGCCCATCAGGTGTAAATAATTCCTTGCAGTATCTCAAGCCTCCCAGATGGGATCTAACCAAATCAAAGGTAATTAATTTTTGATCACATTTGCCTCAGAACTTAAGACACTATGCAGATACTGATCTTTTTCTTTTTTTTTTTGTCTTTTTTTTTTTTTTTTTTCTTTTCTTCAAATTTTTTTTACTACTACTCATATTCCTTGGTCCATTTTCTAACCTCCTCCTTCTGCTTATAATCCAGTTTTTGCCCATTCATTGCCTTCTTCAGGTGATTTGTTCCATGCAGGATTTACTTATTTGTCTAGTTCTGCTTTAATCCAGTTTTGGGATCTTCACAACTTTAAAGCCAATCCTTTTGCCGGTCTTCTTCAGGTGATATGTCCTGTTCAAAGTCTTGTTATTGATCTGTTCCACTCACAATCTAGCTTATGGCCAAATCACATTGAAACATCGATTCTAGTTCATCCATCGAGGTTAAGCAATGTCGATTTTGGTCTGTACCTAGATAGGTAAGCACTTGGGAATACCATATGCTGTAATCTTGGATGCGCAGGTGGTATAATAGATAATAGTTCGGAATTGGACATCAGAGAGCTGAGTTCTAATTCCAGTTTGGTTCATTATATCCACATCGTTGCAAATATGCTTGGGAAATTTATGTATTCACCTCTTCTCTCCTACACCAGTGGCATAGCTAGTGGAGTATCAGTAGAGGTGATCTGCCCTGGTGGTCACTTTTAGCGGGGGTGACACTTTTGTGTCTGCTGTAGGCTATAAGCCTGTATATACTATATTGAAATAAGTGGTTTTAATGTCGGGACATTACTCACAGTTGAAGGATCTTTTCGATTTTGAGTAGCTTGAACTATGGCATATATATTGGCCTGTTTATTGTCTATAGACCGACAATTGACAGATGAAATAGTTTTTGACAATGGCATTGAAGAATTTGACAACAAAACAGCAAGAAAATTTACTATGCAGAAAGTTGTCAGTGAAGATGGTCCTAATTTTTTACACTTTTTTCCCTATATGTCGTTTTTGCTTTTTAAATGTTACTGATAAAGTTTAAGTATATTTGATGTGTATTTAAATTAAACCATATTTGAATATGTGAAAGTAATATTATAATGGTACACAATCTAGTTTTATAACTTTAAGCATGAGGCACTGTGCAATATGTATTTTTTTGTGGGGGCTGGGGAGTGGCAAACTCAAGGGCTGCCCCAGGCATCATACACTTTAGCTATGCCACTTTCCCCCAGCTATAGCTTAAAGTATAGGACTTGTATCAGTAAATAATTATTGTCTCCAAAAAAAATGAATTTTTATAATCCAAATTTTTTTCTGGCTTTAAATAACCTGCAAAGGGTTGAGGAACCATAAAAAACAGATCAATCAATCCACTCCCAATCCAAAGTGTGTGAAAACATGTATCAGGACTGTTCATAATTGTTTGTTTGTTGGGGGAGGTTGTAGGGGATTTAGTGGAGATCTGAAACATGTTTTATGCAGGCAGATTGGCATTTAAAATATTTTTTTTAACAATGAAATGTTTTTTATAACAATTAATTTAATAACATGAGAATTAAATTTATTTCAAATGTTATTTTGTCTAATGTTATTACCTGTCCTCAAAATGATTACAATAAACAGTTTCTCCTGTTGTAGTAGTAGTAGTACTAGAACTACTACTATTACTATAATGATAATAATAATTCTTTTAAACTATTTACATTGTTTGGACTGTTGTTCTCATCTTTGTTGCCATATTCACAATGTTTCAACCATTGTATTCTCTAGCCTTTTTCAGGTGATTGGAATTTTGAAGGACACATAGCCTAGTGGATAAAAGTGTTGGTTAAAGTAATCCAGTGACTTGACTCAGAGAGTTATGAGTTCAATACCTGCCTACAGCAGAGACGAACAAAAACTTGTTGAGTTAAAGGGAAATAACTGATACTGAGATATCCAGAAGAGGCATGGCATGTAGAACAAGAAAAATCTACCCTGGTGAACGAAATAAAAGGCTTTGGTTCAAAGTTCCAATCATCTGAAGAAGGCTGGAGTGTACAACGGCCGAAACATCATGAATATGTTGACAAAGATGCGGGCAACTGTCTGAACAATGTAAATAGTGTAAATTACTGTACCTCATTTCAGAAATACAGACAAATATTTCTTTCATAATGTAGCATCATTTCTAACAATGGATGTAAATAGTTCCAAATTTGATACCCTTTCTTTTATGTTATCAGCTGGTTATTGTTATCTGAAAAAACCCTGTCTCCCCAGAGTGTTCATAATAAGTGGTTTCCACAGTACTATTATTACTAAGTCTTTTATAATGTAAATTTGTTTATAACAATGAATGCAAATAGTTCCAAATTTTATATCCCTTGTGCAATGTTATCAACCGGCCATTGTCATCTACCCCAGCCCAAGGTAATTACAATTAGTGGCCTCCTCTGTATTTGTAATTCATTAATTTTAATTTGAAGAACATTATATTCACCACGTAAATAGAGTGAGAATTTACTTAAAAAGAAGACTTTACCGACACAAGCAGATTTCGCATAAGGATAGGGTCAGATTTCTTTTTACTTGGGTAGAGAGGGTGAGTAGGTATTGTGTTATTTTTTATTTATTTTTTGTTTTTGTATTGTGCGATGCATTCAAGACCATGGGCTGGCATTTAGATTTCGAGCAAGTTTTTCACCTCCTCTTTCTAAGATGAGTCATTTTGTCTACTTGCGAGAATCACCCCTCCCCACTTTCTAGACAACTGTTCATTTACACCTCCCTCCACCGACCCTCCCCCACCCACAAAGAACTTAAGATTTCTTCTTTCTCGTTTGTTCACCATCAAGGTGGCTCTGAATATAGCCACACTCAGGGTCTGGCCAAAACAGCAGTGGTATTTCTTGGGAAACCTGTTGTTTAGCAGTACTTTCTGTTTTTTCGTTTTTTTGGCTCTTAGCCAAAATTTGCGGTCAGGGTGGTTGTAGGTAGCGCTGAAATTAAAGAGGATCGGTGCGAAAGAGGAGAACGAAAGGATTAAAAGATAGGGGTAGGAATAATAGACGGTGTGTGTGTGTGCGTGTGTTAGAATGTCTGTCACCTTTGCTTTTGTACCCAGCTGTCATGGTCTCCTTCTTCCATTTTATCTTTCATAGAGCATTTTGTTTCGTAAAAGTTCTTTGAAGCTTGCTATTGTTTCTGCTCTTGGCTTTCTTCTTTAGACTGCAATCTTTGTTGCTAATCATAGCCCTGTGGGTATTGTAGATTTTAAAAGAGCTACACACACACACACACTCTGGTGGGAAGTAAAAAAATCTACTTTATGTAGAATAGTAAAATGGTTTTGAGATGAGAAGTTACTCAAAATTAGAAAAAAAAAAAAAAAAAATTAAAGAAATCCTTCATCTCTAATTTTAAAAACAACATTATTATTACTAATTTAACAGCTGAAGAAGAAGAGATAGGCTAAAAATGTTATGATAAAAAGCAACAAAATCGGTCACTGTCATGCCATATTCGTTTAAGAATGAAGACCTTTTCTCTGTGTTACCAAGAGTCTATGAATTTAACTATATTACTGGAATGGTGGTAAGGTTCTGTCATTTTACAGTTGAAATGGTGAGATGCAACTCTAAGTTCTATGCTAACAATTTCTTCTCTCACACTTTTCACTTGCTGGAAATCTCTTCCAGCTTCTTGTTTTCCAGTCATCTTTGGTCTTCAAAAATCGAAATGTAATGTCAATGGCTATCTTTTGTTTTCTTAATCTCTGTTTCTTTTCATTAATAATGATTTTTGTATATTCTTTCACATCCAGTAACCCCCATGCCTCTTAGTGGCTCTGTTGCCTTACCTGGGATGAAATGATTTATATATATATATATCCCAATTAATTCATCAAGCCTAGAAGAATCCTCAACAGAATGCAGAAAGCACTGGATGGCCATTTCATCCTAATAATTTCAGTGTTATATATATATATATATATATATATATATATATATATTTATTTATTTAAAAAAATTATAACATAAATATGTTATAAAATCACTACAAAAATAGCCATTATATCTGCTCTACTCTGTATTGAGCACTCTTTTAAGAATAGTAATTGTTGGTTATTGGAATTCATTCCGTATACACCAATTATATACTTGTGTGTATATATATATATATTGTGTATTTGGGCAGCAATCCATCTTTTATACAAGTTTCATAAAAGATGGCTGACAAGATACTGCAATTAAACTTTATATTTTTCTTGTTTGTATAAGTGTTTTCATTTCTGGACATAAAGTTTGTAAAAATTGTCCAAATGTTCTGCATATCTGAATGCTTTTCAGCTGTTCTCTTAGCCATTATCAAGGATGATTTCTATTTTTAACTGAATGTATGAATTTTTTATGTATTTATTGAGAGTTATAGGAATGTTTTATTTTCCAAGCATAGTCAGCACATTGTGGCCGTGTTCTTAGTTGACGTCATTGTGTGTTGGCTTTTTCTTTTTTATTATTAGTGCTTTCATTATTTTTAGTTCTTTTCTTTTTTACATGTGCTTAAGGCTATTATGCTTGTATTTTCTACCAGTCTATTGTGGATGGAATTTGGTAGGTTTTGCATATAATTTTGAGCAGATGATAAAATCAAGCAAAGTCTTATTATTAAGTACTTCTACATTGCAGCATGGCATAGAAATAATTGGACAATGTCAGAGATATCAAGAAAAATTTGTAGACTGATGTGTAAACTGTCATCTTATTATATAAGCTCATGATGTCAATGTCAATATTTAAGCGGAGCTCAGAGCAATGGCGTTGTTTTAAATGTCTGCAATTTAATTTTATGTTTAACACACAGATTGGTAAAAACATGATAAAAAGAAGAAAGAAAATTGAAGTTTGTTGCCAACACAGACCCAAAGATAGAAACCTCACTTAAAAAAAGGCATTATGCATTATTTCCTTTTATTTTAATGTTATTAAATCATAAAATCGCAGTGGGATTTTATGATCAGAAATTAACATATCTTAATTTTTCTATAATCTG